AAAAAAAAAAAAAAAAAAAAAAAAAGCAACTCATGAAAAACTGAACACAATGCAGGTCTGCAGTGTATCTATTTGGGTAACACATCAAATCAAAAACTTCCTTGAGGCTTGCCTGAAAATAACATAGATGAAAAAAAGGTGGAGAGCACATCCCTCAGGAAAAGCAGTAAAGAGGTGGCTGATCAAAACACTAAGGATAGAAGAGGCCTTCAGGATAAAATGGAAATGAATTATCATCTTTTTTTTATGTAATCACTGGAGCTGTACAGATGGTCAGTCATTAACACACTCATGGCACATGGCCATTCCCTGTCCAAAGTGCAGCTTCAGTAGCACGAGGGGGCAGAAGAGGGGGGGAAGAGAAAATCAGAAGCACTACTGAGTTGGAGGAAAGGTGCTTAATTACACGGCAGTCAGCTTTCCTTAATTTCCTAATGTATGAGTCTAGCGACTGCATGGCATGGCATATTACTCACACCCTCGAATAATCAATAAAACCAAAATTATTCAATAAAACGAAATTAAATTTAAAAAGGCAAATAACAAAACAGCAGATTTGAGCGAATCTACGGGAGCTTTCTGATTGAGGAAGAGAGATGTGGCACAAGGAGAGAGGCTACTGCAGGACTTCAGTGTTGTTAAGAGCCTTCCCTTTGAAGGTACCAGCTTGACAAAGGCGTTTCCTACAACTCCAGTCATAGCCTTCATTTCCTGAAAGCAGGCCACCGAGTTTACCTGTCAAAGGCCTGTGTGCACACCAAGCATTCAGCTTTTGGGAAGTGCAAGGGCTTGGTTATCTTCCTCTTTTCTTTTATGGTCTGTGCAAGAAGGCTGCCGTGGAGCGAGCACCCAGAGGTCCCACGGTAACTCCTGGTAGATCAGCTGCTGCTGATCTGACTTTGCTTAATCTACTACTAAAGCCGATGGTTCTGCATGGTATGGAGCTGAGAGTGACCACACAGGGCAGCTTTATTATTCTGGGTCAAATTCCCATGTGAAGAAATCCTAGAGTCAGTAGAAAACTTTTAGAGATGGCTTGCTTGCTATTAAGTAATTCAACCGCTATTACAGCTCGTAAGTTAAAGTATAAGAAATCAGAATAATGTCACATGAAGATTCATAAAACCCTGTCACAACCATACCATACAGTTTAACTTATTGCTGGTTTGTATTGCAGTAATTTAAACAACTGTTTGCGTTTCCAAATGCCAACTACTTACCTATACTTTCCTATTTGGAAACCAAGCCTTTGCTTCACAGACTGTTTTATATAAAAATGTATCAAGTATAAAAATTCAGTACAATTAATGTCTAGTGCAATGTTGCTGTACTACACTGTTGAACTATCAATGCACCCCTTCCTATAAACAAGATTTTAATTTTCATTCTTTAATCAGCTATTTAGACTTGTAGTTTATTAATTTGCTTTCCTGCAGGGACATACAGCTGCTTTGTTCCCATTTTAATGAAGAAAAGAGAGTACAAATGATTTCTGTGCATAACTAAATGCCCCTGTCCACCCTCAGAGAGCCATGTGGAACAGAACCATTAAAGAGCACGCTGGTACCAGGAAACCTCCTTGTGAACTTAAGGTCTGAAGCAAGCCCACTTCCACCCCGGAGCCAGACCGGTAGCCACCATCCTGAACTTTATTACTATCATTAAGACTACTTTAAGATTCCATCTGAGGTATGTAATTATTTTGTGTATATTAAGCATATGAAAAATTCTATTCAATTCAAATCAGCATTTTAAACATTAAAGTTAACCACACGTCCTAGTATTTTGCAGGCTCGAGGTACAAGGATCTACACAGACACTGAGCAAGCCTCTCCCGAGAGCTCAGTAACTCAGCACCGTGACGCAGATACACGTACGCTACCTCGGGGCCTGAGCAAATAAGCCCACACAATACTGATCTGCTGAGTTAACCAGCTTGGGCATCTACAAGGTTGGGTGTCTTGCACCACCTTGCTCAGTAATATGCAGACACGACTTCGTCTTTACCATTCTCCTTTCTCAAGGATTTAAAAAAACCCAACCCAACCAACCCCCAAAACCCAAACAAACCAGCTCTGAGCTGAAATGCATAAAGATAAGTTAAAAATAAAGATTTCCCAGTTGAATTATCAGTCTGATCCTGCAGAACAAGGATTAATGAGGCCCACTGTGGGCTACCAATCTATCTTAGAATAATTTTTAATTGGCTGCCGAGCACAAGCTTAACAGTGAGTTTTGCTGGTTTCCAGCTTATGACATCGAGCCACACACATCAAAAGCACGTACCTGTTCATGTGGGCAGGGCCATAACCACCAATGGCATATATCATTCCGTCCAAGACAGCTGCAGCAAAACAACTTCTTGTTTTGTTCATGGGGGCCACTAGCTGCCATTCCTTCACTTTAGGAATGTATTTCTCTACAGTTCGTAAGTAAGACTGCCCATCATAGCCGCCTAAGGCGTAGAGCTCTCCTGCCAGAACTACCACTCCCAGAGTACTCCGGCTCTCAAACATCCTCTCAAGAGATGTCCAAGTGTTCGTATCGGGGTCCCAGCACTCCACCGAATTCTCGTGCTTTCGGTAACTGATGCCTTGACACACGTGGGTTGCAATCCCTCCTACAACATATATTTTCTGGTCTAGGACACATATTCCGAATTCGTAGCGGGGAATGCTAAGAGGTGCCAGGCCTATCCAGGAGTCATTCTGGGGAAAATACATTTCAACACTGCAATAGAAAAACAAAGACTACGTGAGCAAACCTCGACCTTCCAAAGCTCTGTGAAGCACAAGCGAGCATCAAGGAACACAGTCTTAAGATTATTTCATATGTCCCACCCAATCTTTGCTGTTTCTTCCAATGGCCCAAACGTAAGCTAAAATCGAATGCCGTTTACTGTTCTAAAGAGTTAAAACCCCAGGGCCTCGTAGCGTACAGTGCGATGCAGCAACCCAGCGGGCAGCCACGGCACCAAATCCGAGACCTGCAATGACAGATTTTGAAAGTACAAACCAGGCAGACTACGGAGGAGGCAGGACAGCATCGTGGATGCTGCGAGGGAAGACAATAGAGTGCTGATGCCAGAGCAGCGTGTGGACGTAGGCTGCGATCGGGGTAAGCCAAAAATATAAACCAAAGGGATAAGGAGGGGAAACTGGAAAAAAACCCACATCAGAACAGCCACAGACATGGGAGAGAGAGGAGAATTGTAGAGGGGGAAGCACATGTCTATATATATACATACAAACATCCATTCAGAAAGCACAATTTGTAGTTTTATAAATACATATTTTACACGCACAGTGTAATTTAAATGAAATGCCAAAGTAGAACAAACTAACTTGAAAAATCTGTTTTCAAAATACTGCTTATTTGCATTTTCCTTTAATTATACTGTGTTAAAATACGGTGGCTCTAGCCTAGCACATATAAAGTCGAGTCAATCTACCTAAATAGTTCAGTTAATAAATTACTTAAATGATTTAAAAGATTATCTAGTACACAGGAAACATGATCTGTTCAAAAAACATGCAAGGAAATGAAGCCACTGCAGAGCTGATAGCCAGGACCAGAAGCGGGGACTGCTGCAACACCAGACTGGCTCTTGACAGCAGCAGCCCGCTTAGAGAAGAGCCGGACTAAAGATATTCTAAGTAAATTTGTTATTATGAAGCAGCGGCTAAAACTGTAAGGGAAAAAACCAGCCCTCCTGCACGTACAAATGAAAAGTAGAATGGGAACAGTGGAATTAAGGTTTCCTACTTCACAATGTTAATTGTATTAGGAATTACTTGTTTAATCGATCTGTGACTTTTTTTTTTTGTGCGCCAAGAGCAATTGTTTAAACTTCAGTACTAACTGAAACAACACTTGAGGAAAGACTAATATGAATGATAAATAAAGGAAGGGCAAATTTCTGTATGCATTAAAACATGGTTAACAGTAGTAAAGAACATTTTTGTTTAAAAAAAAAAAACCCAAATACCCCAAACTACATTGGTATGTAATATTATTATAATCATTGAAAAAGCTGGCAAAGGAACAGAGCTGATGAATGTGAGAGGGCTCCTTTATTCACTCAAATACACAGATTTTTAAAATCTATAAACCCAACAATTCCTAGTCCCAACATCTAGTTTACTACCGATCCCTATTATTGGGAAAGTTAACTTTAAATAACTTGGACAACCTATCTAAAGCAGGGAAAAAGAACATACAGAGCTTCTCAGGCTTTTAAGTGTGTGTATGAACATATGCAAGCGTGGAACTGTCGCAGAAAAGAAAATCTCAGAGTAAAATATTAGGCCAGAATTCAGCTGTGGAACCAGTTCGGGTAGTCTGCCTTAACACAGAAAACATTTACTGGGTTGATAAGGGTACATGCGACATCAAAGCACTCTATGTGTTTATGGATGCATATGTGTATGGATGCATACACGTGCATGGACGCAGACCCACACACAGTTTATACAACGGTAAAAGGAAACCTAGCCATATCAGTGTGGGGAAGAAAGCCATTTTTCTCTCCATGACATTGCTTTTGCTCACACGGTCAGCCTCAGGGATGTAACACGCTACTCCAGTAACTGAAGAGGAGGCTCATTTTGAAAACCGGGTAGAGAAAGGCGGGCACTTACCGGTTTCTGCCAGCACTGATACGGATACCTACTCAGCAGCAGAGGTTAAAGTCATGATTACGTTACGATCAAGAACGTGACATTGCTAAGAATTACCTCTTCGCTCTTCTCTGATAATGTCTATTTTAATTCCAAGGACTTTTTAATTATCAGGAAGTGTATTTGTCATGTATTAGGTTAAATTTTATGATTTAATTGTCTGGAATAATAATAGATCAGGGAAAAAAATATGTAAAATGGCAATACCTGAAAAGGATAAAGCAGTAGCATTCAAACTTTCAATAACCACTTTTATTAACCGAATTCTCAACCAACAGAATTAAAATGATAAGATTGTATAGCTATTTGTGTCGGCACAAACAAAACCCCGTAACATTGAAGATTATTCATTAAATCAAAAAGCATTTTGAATTCAGCGCTTGTCCTTATTTAAAAAAAAAAAAAAAAAAAAAGAATCTGCTTAAGAGTTCTTATGAAGGAAAGCAGCAACTACAGTCCTGCAAACCACAGCTCTTCGATGACTGTCTTACTCCCGACCCAGGGCGATAACAAACACGCGTGAACACCGCTCAAGTGCTGCAACAACTTTACCCTTACTTACCTTTCCAAACATGCAAACAGTCCAGCTTTTCCTCCTACAGCACAAAGGACTTTAGGAGCACAGCGAGGTCGGGTCATCAACATGGTCTGGTGGGAAAGTCTGTGTTCAGGCATAAAGTGGTATTTTAGGGCCTCGTTTAGCAGATGTTTACAAGTATGGTCATCACGAATGAGATGGTTTGCTTCGTATAACCGCGTAAGAAACTTAACGCTCAGCAGCGGCAACCGAACGCAGTGCAGCAGCTGCGCCAAGTACTTCTGTCGCTCCTGCACGTCGTATTTGATCCAGGACTCTAGTGCATAGAAAACAGTTTCTTCTGTCACAACGTTCAAGCAGTCATTGGAAACAATTTCATCCAATTCAGAATGCGTAAGCTCAAAAAATTCTTCCGTCTGACAAACATCTTCGAAGTTCTGACAAATGTACTTGTTCGCAGCCAAGTAGAGGTCGTGGCAGCCATAGGTCTCTGCAAAACGAGAAATCCCAATGCAGTTGCCAGGATCAAGCTGGCTTTCAAGAAACGCACAACACTCCTTCACTACCAGTTTGATCTGGAGAAGATTCGCAGCTGGAAGAAGGGACTCTACGGTGTCTTGCGAGATAAACACAGTTCCTGTGTAGGCGTACTCCACGATGGCCTGCAGGGCTGCCTCATCAATGCACTGGAACTCCACCTCTGAGTTTTCCTTCTCAGAAAGGTTCCCAGTGAACATGGCTTTGAAGTATGGACTGATGCTGGCAAGCACCACTTTGTGGGCATGGATCTTGACATCGCCAACTCTAAGGATAATGTCACACAGCTCGTGATGCTGGCGAAGGAGGTTCAAGCCTTGCAGAAGCTGTTCAGAATGCAAGTGGGTTAAGTTGGCAAGCATGTAGGTTGGAGACGACTGGTCCATCTGTGACAAACAGAATTTTTAACGCATTACTCAGGGCTTCATTTCAACAGCTTCATTACTCATGTTACTTAGACACGCCATACCTAACATTTAAAAGCAAAAATGGAAAAAATATTTTTTTTTTTATCTTAATTAGGTTTATTACTTTCCAATTTACTTCTTCAATCCTTATGCGCTATGCTTTTTCATGCAAGTTAAATCCAGGACAATCAAATGTTTATTAATAGTGTATGCTATATTAGTCTTTGAATTAAAAAAAAGACAAACTCAACCACCACCCTTTTTGTTTTGTTCTGGAGTAAAGTGCGTGTTATCTGAAGCACTGGATACATGGTGGGATTCTACATCAGATATTTGAGAGAACTGAACAGTGACTGACATAAAAATAAATAGAAATAAATAAAGAACAGAACTGGCTTATTTGAGACAAAGTTCTAAAAATTCTTAAACTACTTTCTGCTACTCGCCTTGCGGCCTATTTAGCACTACTGTGGTGCAGCCAAGCCCTGCTGTGCTTCCCCTCTGACCAGCGCTGCAAGCAGGGCCCCAGCGGTCAGCAGGGACCAGCTCCCCGTCCCCCTTCCTTGCCCAGAAGAGAAGAGTCCCACAGAGGCAAAAAAGACTCACAAGGGCAGCGGGGCCCTGGGCTCCAGGAAAAGGGGTGCTGAAGCAGAGGTTACCGTACGCTGAACAGGCAGAGGAGCTCGGGGGAAGGGGGAGAGATCCCGGCCTCACCTCAGTGAGAAGCTTCCACCATGAGAGAAGATCCCCACCGGATGTGCCCTCGCCGGAAAGATCAGACCCGGGGAAGACTGGGAGCCGGGCCTGCCCCCGCCATCAAGAGGCGAGGGGTGGGAAGTGGTGAGGTGCTTCCCAGGGCGATTCAGGGAGCGGGTGCCAGCAGGACAGGCTGAGCATCCCGGTATCTATCTCCGTTTCCACGTCCTCACGGCCCCGGCAGCTACCCACACTCCCTAACATCACTAGTGAGGGCAGGGAGAAGGATCCTCACTCCTACCTACAGCTCCACAAAACCCCCAAACGCTTCTTCCAAAAAGTTTTAGTTTGCATCGTGACACTTGAAGGCACTGTGATACCTGCTCTAATTTCAGTATCATTAAAATTCAAATGGTGCTGCCCACCACTACCTGTTGGAGAAGCAGTTCTGCAGCTCTTTATTCAGCCTGAATTATTATAGCGGTGAGAGGGTGGAGAGTACGAACGTGTCAGGATCCTGGACATGTATTTTCTCAAGGAAATGTAACTATTGTTCTACAGAGAACACTACACCCTTCCAATTTCTGAGCTGAAAAGCTGATTTAATTCTGATTTTCTAAATGACTACACAAACTTCAAGTTCTCACTTCTTAAGAAGTTCATAATTTTTACAGCTCCTTAACTGACATCTAATTTTCAGGGAGCCTACTTACAAAGTGCTTAAACTGAAAGAATAAAATCAGTTGCCAACATTTAAATACAGAACATAATAGCACTGACAGAGAAGTGAAGGCTTTACAGCTAGGGATGAGAAAACCTCTCACCCTTTAAAAGATAAGTAAGCTCATCCCTCTGCTATTAAAACCCTATCCTGGAAAAAAACCCCAACTATCTAAAAGAAAGTATTTTAAGTGTATTTGCAAAAGGCAAGATTCAGAACAGCAACGCTTTCCATATAACGACGTTTTTGCAGCACAAATTATATGGGGGAAAAGAAAAAAAGAGAGCTGTTCAGCAGCTAAACCACTTTCTTTTCCTTTCGCCTTTGTGCTCAGTTCATAACTCGATTGTACGTATATGCAGAAACCATAAACCACAAGGCAACGCCACACGGAAGGAAAAAGGAACGGTTAGAGTTCAGATGCAAAACCTGTAAAAACAGTTACAAATAGCTGCATTTAAGTTATCAAGAATAAAACTTTTTGTACCAACTTGGTAGAGATGCCTACTGTTCTACCTCGCATGCCTCCTGCATGGCAGTGCTCGCCCACACCACGTATTTGCATGCATTTATTTTACTGTTGGGGAAAAAATCAGAAGCTAGAACATTAAGCAGCCCTGAAAAACATACGCTAGTGCAACGACCTGCGCTCACCGCACAACTCAGACGGTTGCCCCTAGGCTCCTGACTATCTAATCCTTTTTCAGTCTGTGGGTAAAACTTACCTTGACTAGCAGGGAAAGGGTTATTGGCAATAAGAAGGTTAACCAGAGATGCAAACACCTAAGCTCGCTTAGCGAAGAACTACGCTTCTAGAAGCCGCAGTCGCGACGGTGCCCAGCGAGCGATGCAGAACGCGGCGCTTTCGTTACGCCGAGGCAGCAGGACGAGCTCCGGGCCCTCTTCTCCTTCAAGGTGGTGCCTGAGCACTCGCCAGTTCCTTCGTTAGGTTACAAAGCGGCTGGAGCCGGTAAGCGACCTGGCTGGTTCTGCAGCTCCCTAGAGAGCACAAAACCTCAGCAGCCCTACCTGTAGGCCTAACTTCGGTCCCGAGCACCGGACGCGTCGTTACGCCGAGGCAGCAGGACGAGCTCCGGGCCCTCTTCTCCTTCAAGGTGGTGCCTGAGCACTCGCCAGTTCCTTCGTTAGGTTACAAAGCGGCTGGAGCCGGTAAGCGACCTGGCTGGTTCTGCAGCTCCCTAGAGAGCACAAAACCTCAGCAGCCCTACCTGTAGGCCTAACTTCGGTCCCGAGCACCGGACGCGCGGCACCGACCGAGAAGCCGTGCGGAGGGAA